TAATAAGATATCATCTTTGTGTTCCTTGGGCACAGCCTATTTCTTCATTTAGTTCTCTGCTATATTGGATCTGCTATTAAGTTATTTAGGAAAATTGTCTCTATGTCAGTGAGCATGACCCAAGTGTTCTTTTCTTGGGGTAGCCTTATCTGTTGTTTGTATCAAGGACAGCTAGTCTGTTAAAGTGGTTGAGTGATTTACCATTCTTTAGTGTGGTTTGGAAGAGTTTACATAGTATGGTGACTAGTTTTTCTTTGACCATTTGATGTAACGGGCCTCCAAACCTGGCTGGTCCTGGAACATTTTGAGGGTGTCTTGGATTAGGGCTACAGTTTCAGTTTGTATTATTCGATTACATTTTTCTGTTGCTTTATGGACCAATGTACAATTGCTATGAGTCAGAATCGACTTGACAGCAATGAGTAGAATGGGTAAAAATTGTTCTCTTTCAAATTTGAAGGTTTCTAAATTTTATTATAGAAATTCTCAAACATATACGGCAGTACAGAGAATGGAAAAATGAACCCAATATACCTGACGCTCAGCATCCATAATCCTCAATAGGTAGAAGCTTGTTCAGATTAAGGTTTACTTATTAATCTGTCTATTGGCAGGAACACTCTAGAGATGACACCGTGCACTTCCATTAGGAGATATATAATGTTTGCTGTTTCCCTTTGTGGTGACATTGGCAGTCCCTGAGGATCATCACCTTTATCCATTAATTCATTAGGGGCTACAGAATGGGAATTCTCTAATTCTATCATACTTTTGAGTTTATTAACTGAAACAATTCTATAGCTAGAACCTTTACTTGTCCTCCATTTGTTATCCTGATGTAATGGTAAAACTTATTTATAGTGTTCTCTTATAATCTTTAAATCTCTTCTGAGTTATATTATGTACAATTGTATTTATATAATATCCCTTATTTCTATTTCTTTCTTTTGTAACTGATAATATTTATAAGAATTAGTATATAAACCTTTTTAAAGAATGTCTTTCATCAGATGACTCTAAGAACAACAACAACAAAACCCAAACCAGTTAATTCTGACTCATAGCAACCGTATAGGACAGAGCAGAATTGCCTCATAGGGTTTCCAGGGAGCAGCTGATGGATTCAAACTGCTGACCTTTCGGTTAGCAGTTGACTCTTAACCACTGCACCTCCAGGGATCCAAACCAAACCCGTTGCCATCACGTCCAACTCATAGTGAACTTCTCCTAATTCATCATGTTTGCATCTATCCTCATTATTTTCTCCCTTCTAATTCTTTAGATTTAATATGCTATCCTTTTTCTAGTCTTAAATCATTTGGATGTTTTCAATATTTTTATGATAAATCTATCTAAGGCTATACTATCCTTCTGAGTTCCACTTGGACGGCTTCCCCCAGGTCATGCTGTAGAACGTTATGTATATTGCTCAATATTTTTACAAGTAGACTATATCTTTCTGTTTTTAAAAGTTTTAATACACATACACACACACACAAACACATGTGAGTGTAAACAATTATATATGAGCAGAGAAACAGAGATTTATTTAGTTTCAGGGTTAACTGGATATTTAGTCAGCGCTGGGCACTTCTGGTTATGGGTAGTGAGATAAGGCACCCTTCACCTCCTTGTTGTGAGTTCTGGGGGATTTCAGGTGTCAACTTTAGAGTAGTAAAAGTGTGCGGGCCCAGGCCCTGTCAACAGTTAATATGATAAGGCCCTGAATGTGAACTGAGTGGTCTCCCATCCAGAATGGGGGTTCCCAATGGCACCCATTCTGTTACCTCAGTAAGTCCCAGGCAGGGCTGGCAGGCTGCAGTCTAACTCTTTCTCTTAATTCTTCCACAGAGTTCTCAAAGAACAGGCTGAACAAGAGAAAAGTAGATCAGGGCCCCCGTGGAAAACTGAAGAGGTGTCCTTCATTAAACTCAAGGTGGAAACCTGCCTGCTGAAGGGGTGCACACCCTCTCAGCCTCCCTCTTCCTGAGAGCCCATATCACCCGCCCGCCTGCCCATGATCCTGCTTGCTGTCGCTGACCAGAGTCATCATGCCTCATGATCAGAACGGCGATCTCCAAGTCTTTGAAAATCTCAACAAGGCCCAAGGTGAGACCCAGGTATTCGAGGGCACTCAGGCCACTTTAGTAAAGGAAGGAGAACCCCCCTTCTCATCTTCTCTTCCTATTGGGAGTGGTCTCCAGATTACCCAGAGCTCACATGCGGCTGTGTCAAGCAGCACTCCCCAGGAGCCTCAGAGGGCCCCATCCACCACCATTACTTCTTCAGGCATTTATTGCAGAAGATCTGATGAAGGTGGAAACAGCCAAAATGGAGAAGACCCAAGCATCTCCCAGGCTCCAGCTTCCACTAAGAGCTCACACCGAGATCCTCTAACCAAGAGGGCAGGTTTATTGGAGCAGTTCCTGCTGTACAAGTATAAAATGAAACAGCCCAT